ATATTTTCGTTTAAATAGTGCGTCCCAAAACTGTACTTTTACAATCGTTTTAGACAAAGTTAGCAATTTTTTCTGAAATTGTTTTCAATAGGAATATTTTTCATTTACTCCATAGATGAACAATAGATCATCGATTTCATTGAAATTATACCTTGTCCACTACCCTATTGATGATTTTCCGGCTATAATTGGTTTTGTTTTTGACATTTTCAGTCTTCAAAATCTAAAACATACAATATGCATTTTCAGTTTAACAATATAAATAGGTCGAAGAGCGCATTCTATTTAAGACCATTTACCAATTTTTAAATGTTTTACGATCACGAAAACTGTGGTAAGAGCTTCAGTATAGAATTCACCTGACTATATCACCTTTTATACTAGATACTCGACTAAATACCTACCATCCACTAAAACTAAAACCTTATAAAAACGCAAAAAATACTACATTTTCTCTGAACGGCGTGTTTTTTTTTATTTATTATTTGCCGTAAAATCATTTGGAAGAACATAAATTCTCATTTGGTTGGCTTTCACAAATTTCTATGAATATTAATCATTATTTCAAAAATCCAGGCGCCGCCCATGACCGTCGGCGTCCGTAGGCATCTTCAATTTCAGAAAACACGCTTTTCATACTTTTCAAATGGTAATTATTTTTTTTGCTACAAATTCTCTCAATGTAGCAGTTTGAAAAAGTTTTAATGCAAAGTCTGCAAACATTTCTATTTTCTAAATAATATACCTAGCAATTTTCAAGGTCGGTAAACGTCTCTGAGGTAAACGTCATATCAACCAGGAAATATTTTAGTTGACTTTTCCATCCTCGAATTCTATAGTGGCCGTGTTTCGTTTTTGTCATCTTTTTCATCGATTTGCTCCGAAATTTTGACAGGCACGTGATTTGTAAATTGAAACTGTCTGATCCAGCCTGTCAAAATTTTGGAGCAAATCGACGAAAAAGATGACAAAAAACGAACACGGCCAGTATAGAGTATAATATCGCCCATTTGAAAAAAAATCTAAAATTTAGGACATTTTTGTCCGCCATTTTGGAAAAAAAGGGCGGTATCGGGTTTCCTACGGGTCCAGGAGGGTGGCTTATCGGGTCAAATCTCTTGAAATATCGTCCTTTTATAACTATGCCAAATTTCATGCTTGTATGATTTCTATTTTTATTTCTATCGAGTTAGAGAGTTCGCCTGCTGGCTTTCTATATAGAAAAAAATAGTTAACTGTTGATCTGCCTGCCCCAAAATTATCATCTTCGTCTCCTGCTAGCATGTCGATTTTTAGTGCCTTATCTCCTGCTGATGGAGTTTTCCATTCTTCGGAAATCTTTCAGTTATACATACATTTCTTCCATGAATTTTTTTTTTAACAAAAACTCTTCCAATGCTGCTGAAATGAAGCGGATGCGTTGCCATTTTCTAGTGATTGAAATTGTTTTGCTGTCGCATAAATTTAGTACAAGTCGAGATGCCACTGTTACTGAAATTTGTGACTATACTTTAATAGGCCTTTGGTAAAGGTAGTTGGTTGTTCACTATTGTTGATCAAATGCAGATAATTTTTGTTCAGCAAGCGCGGACATGCCAAAATTGTTCGGTAATTATAACCTTGGGTACATAATTTTTAAGCAAAAAAACATTAGGTATTAAAAATTCCAATGTGAAGATAGTTATTTCGCAGTTGTAGAAAAAGTATAGTGTGTAACGCGTGTGAAGAGCACTTTCCACACTAATGTGGTTTGTGCCACTCGCCTGCGGCTCGTGCCACCAAACTTCCCCACGCTTGTGAAAAGTGCCATTTTCAACACTTGTAGGTACAATGTACTATTTTCAGATTTCTTTTTTCTAAACTGGTTTTCTTTTGTACTTAGGTACTATTTCTCTTCTTTCTGATTGTCCTATTTTGAATATGCGTTTGTTTTCGGCTAGAAGAATAAGGATCATGTGTCAAAAGTTTCTTGTTTGTTAGCTAAGAAGTTGTTATTTTAAAACTTGCAATTTAGAATTATTGATAGTGACAATTAACTTTTGTTGTAGAATAGGTTTCAATTCTGAATGTCAACCCCAAATTAGGTACAGTTGCGATGAGAAAAAAGTACTTAGTACAAGAAAAATCTCCAAAATCTCCTGGTCCATTATACACAATGAACTATAGCCAAAAACTGGGATGCGTACACATATTGACGAACGTGAAGCCTAGTGCCGCTGCTGCGGAGGGGGATACCTGTTTTTGTCGCACTCATTATGTTAAATGGCGGAAATTGCTTCCAACACGTATTCCAATTGATGAAACCTGTGAAGGTAAATATGACAAAACTTTCGAAAACGTCATATGCATATGTCAGCGAGGAACAGAAAAAAAACAACATTCCCCCTTGTGGTATCTGTCTTTCATGGCTTCATTTTTTTTGGCAGATATGGCAATGTGTGCGCATTCCAGTTTTTAGCTATAGTTCATTGATTATACATTAAATTAATTCAAAACCAAAAATTACATATTTTTGGTATTTTTCGACAATTTTTTTAACCTAGAAAGGTTCAGATGATATTACTTTTGGCATTTTTTCCACCCGTTTTTAGCCTAGAATATGTCATTGCCCGAACTCAATAAATTTTGATATTTTTCTTTTTTAATTTCAAAATTTTGTATGTTATAGCGGGATCTCAAATTGGGGTTAATAATTTTTTTCTCCAAACGTCAGAAAAACATCACTTTGTTAACCTCTGTCAAGATGTCAGAAATTTGATTTCTATGCTGCTAGGCAAATCCAGTGGGTTAACAACTGTCGAGGTGGTAAGAAATTTAATTTCTATGCAGCTTGGCAACCTCAGCGGCAGCAAAAGTACTTTTAGTGCCGCTTGTACTTTTACTGCCGCTCAACCATCTACTTGCTCCCGAAATTACCCCATTCGTTTGGAGAAAAAATAGCATGTTGCATACGGAGTAGAAGCACTTTTTTGTGCTTCAGCAGTATTGCAAGCCTCACTACGTTCGGCTACCGCTTCAGCACAAAAAAGTAAAGCTTCTACTCCTAATACAACAATATACTAATGTACTACTTTTTTTTTATTGCAACTGTACCTAACTACCCGTATTTGTGGCGATGTTTACCTGCAGTTAATTTAAGTAATAATAAAACATATTTCATAGGATTGCTGCTGTCTTAAATCATAAAACCACAAAACGCATTAATTAATACCAACATCACAAAGTAAACACAAATTATATTAATATATGCAGGCAACTTTTCTGACCATGAAGCCACGCTATTAAAAAAAAAACATTAGTATAATAATAGTAATTCCCAGAAACTCAAATTTCGGAATAAATTGTTAACTGGCTGAGTAAAGGTGCCTGCATGGAAATAATTAAAGTCGTTTTTATTCGCTTAATAGATAATTATTAAGTATTCACTTTTAAACAGGTACAACAACAACACACACACAACACTCCTAGATCCCTACCTCACTGTACAGACATGTTAAATTTCAAACTCAAAATCAATGCCAATCAAAAGTCTGAAAGTTCTTCATTGTCGAAAGGATTAATTTTCATTGGCAAAGCTGAAATGACAAAAATTCAGTTTTTTTCCAAGTTTTTTGTCTCGCAGATCGTGTTTCATTTCGGTATATGGAAGATAAGTGAAGAAAATGTTATTCTTTCCTCTCGTAAAGGAAATAGGGTAAATTCTAGGCACATCTGTAGGCGAATCTATAACTTTCTATAAGCCTAAAGACAATTTTCAATTTTTGCAATTCTGCGCTTCCTGCAGCTTACAAAAAATCTTATAGATTCGTAAATATTCCCTCCCCATTAGTTGTTTGGCAATCGATGCGTCTTCTAGTCAATTGCGTCACTGCAAATTAGACGTTCATGTAAAGTATCTCAGAATTGCCAGTTTTATGATCCTATAAACATAAAAGGTATAGATCATCGTAAGCTATGGATATACGAGTTTATAGAAATTTTGCGAGAGAACCCAAAATTGGACAATATGTCTGTTTCTTGGGTTCTCTTTCAAATATGCAGATGAAAAGCATGAAAATTGAACACTTTTTTTATTCTGGTTTTTATATAGGGTCATTTTTCTATCCTGCTAATTTGATTTCCGTTCATAACAGGGGTTAAATAATCCGTTCTCCAGTTGTCCCTCAAATAAGGAGGTGAAATACAATATGAATAATTTGAAGTACCTACTTACATTGAAATTTTGGAAACCAATGTTGGAAACCAAGATGCACTAACTGGGAAAAAAGTTGCCTACAAAAGTGCCTATAAATAATCTGTCCTCAACTTCTTCGAACTCGGAATAGCAACGGATATAGGTACAGGGCAAAAAAAGTTCGTTTTATCAAATCCTTCATATCTTGTTCATTGTAACAGGTACAATGAAGAAGTTCAAAGAAGTTTATGACATATTATCTGTAGGCACTTGATTGCGCAAATTTTTCCCTATTTGGTCCACCCTGTATCTTCAATCCCCATGTACTTCAAGTTATTCCGGACACCCCGTATAAAGAAAAAATTTCAATTCATTCTTGTTGACCTATTTGGGTTTCTATTGTCCGCCATCAAAGGGTTGGATAACCGCATCTTCATTTGTTCCTCGAAAATTGAGGCTAACGCACGATCAAAAATACGAAATACTTGAAAACTTTTTCTTTTTTATCATATTTGGGGCAGTTTTCTATTTTAGACGTCCACTAATTTCCGTTTGAGAATATAGGGTTGAATTTATTATTATTTTGTAAAAATGTAGGTAGAACGCGATCTGATTGGTTGATAAATTACCCAAATAGCAGGAACGCTGACGTGTACAAAGAACCTACCTATAAACAGCAATTATATGAGTTATTGTGCTATTTTAATTGTTAATAAAAAAAGTGCTTTCCAAGTATAAGTTCAATTAGTTGACCCTGGTTTTGCCTGATTAAAAAAGTTAATTCCCAAAGGTAGACAAATTTCATAATATGTGCATCTGTTTTTAGCCAATAGACATTAAAAATATCCACTGCCTCTGGGGAAAACACGAAAAACTATTGAATAATCTACAATTGCGCTTTGAAATGATGCTGATAACGGACTTTTTCGAATACTTCAAACAGCCATGGGCGTACGCAATCTATCACGATCGATTCGAGATTTTATTTTGGAGGATTTGAATAACATAATGACGTCATCTATGGTAAGAGTCTTTCAATAAGTGTCTCTGTTCACTTATAATAAATTAGAACCCAAGAAACCCAAGAACTTATTTTTAATAGGGTGAAGAATGTCTGATAACCATTATTATAGAAATGTACAAGAATCGAAAATGGCAGCAAGTAAGTTTAATTGTCTAAATATAATTTAGTTGAAATATGTAATTGAATTTTAATTTTCAGCTGACTACCGAACAACAAGAAGACATAGAATCGAAATTTCCTAACTTAATATACTCAAAAATAATTGAACAAAAAGTTTTGGATTTTTATTCACGAGAATTTGAACTATCTTTCAATGTATGCCCATCCGACTTCGATCAGAAAGATATTAGAAGGATTCGACAAGAGTCCACTATTTACAAAATGAATTGAAAGATTTTTAATATATTATTTGCAATTTTAATGAAAATTTATATGAAAGATCTTATAATATAATTAGATCCAATTTGTTGTAGTTCAATTATTATGCTAATGTTTTTGTCTGTTTTGTGCAATTGACCTTTGGCTTGGCGACAATGACTCATTAAATTAACTTCAGTAGGATTCCGGTAATTTGCTTAAAACTATCGTTAATTAGAATTTGGCTATCCACGCCTAGAAGCATATTTTTCCATTGATTGAGCATATTTCAGGCTCTTAAAAATACGTGATGCAGTTTTACTTCTGTGAATTTCCATTTTGTGATTTTAATTGTGAAATTCTCGGTCCAAAAATTAAAGTTCCAAATTTATTCACTCAATTCAATAGTTGAAGAAGTGAGTTTTTTGCATCAGACTGTTGAACAACGGCATAGAATCATTATTTAATCTTGAAGAATAAATAAAAAGATACCTATTTACTAATGAAAATGAAAACGGATAAAACGGCTGACGGCATAGCATTCACCAAGGAGCAGGTATAGCCATTCATCTAGTTCCCGTGACGTTAGTTCATGGGAAAAAGAGCCCTGCAGGCCTAAGAGTAGACCTAAATGGACAGGAAGGCATCCTAGAGGGAATTCATTTGACATGCATAGAGATGTTAGACGATAGATAGATGATGGAATGATGAAAATTCACTTTGAATATTTGTTTACTTTTTTCTCAAATTCAAAATTTGTTTTTTTTTTAAATGTTATTTTGGTTGAAAAATTAGAACGATTGAATCTTGTAGTCCCATCTTATACCGAGTGTTTATTATTTAGTAGTTTATTTTATTGAACAATCAGAAGATTTCTTGAGGCTGATTTAACCACAGAACGAGCAAAGGTGAATATTTTGAAAAAATGAACTGAAAGAGAGACAACGCAATGGTGAAAATGATCTCATTCTGAAATAAGGAGTACCTTAATTAATCCCAAATAACTAAAAAGGCTTGCCATAAGGTGAAATCAGAAAGCACCTCTTTACTGATATATTTGCCTTTCAGATATTTTTGGCGTAGCATTAGCCATGGAAATTTGGCAGGTTGACCCTCATATAATAATGACAGTATATGTCAAATTCCAGACAGTTTTAAGTGTGTTTTAAATAATTTCGTAAGTTTCGCGGTATTAAAAATTCTCTGGCCTATCTGGCCAATCAAATTTGACACATTTTTCAATAGTTTATACAGGGTGTCCCAGCCGAGAGTGACCCATTTTAAATGCTTATAACTTTTAAACGAGGTGAGCTAGCTACCTGCGGTTTATGCCATTCGATTTCTCTTACTCTAAAGTTTTTTCCAGTAGGTTTCAAATTTTTTTGAAACTTATACAGGGCGAGTAAAAAAAAAAATCAACATCGAAATTCTCCACTATTTCTAATGGAACATCCTGTATATCACAACGTCAAAAAAAAGATTAATGTTTAAGTTTTCCATGTATCAATAGATATCGTCCCTAGCCGAAAAAAAATCAAAATCGAAATCTTGGTATTTTTGCAAACACATGCAACTTCATGTTGTAGGAACTTGATATCACTATGGCAAACAATTTTGTAACTGTCTAGTTAGATATCAATTAAGTTGAGATACATTTTCCAAGATTTAAGAAGTTCCAAAGTATTTTCTCTGAAACTCATTAAATAGAGATACCCCAACAGTAACAGTTTGGTGTGCAATCTCTATTGAGAAAAAATACAGACCATTTTCATTGATGAACCAACAATAACATAAACTGTATACACTGATATGTTCTTTTTTCCATAGTTGAGACAGGAGGTTATCTTGAATGATATCTATTTTCAGTAGGATGATGCCCCCACCTCATTATTCATTAATAGCAAGGGAATCACTAGATATGACATTTGGGGAAAGACGGATAAGAAGAGCTGGCCGCTGGCCTATAGAATGGACACCTTACTCTCTTGACTTGAAAGTTCTAGACTCTTTTCTCTGGCGTTATGTCAAGGAAAGATGCGGCAATACTTTGCTAAAATAGCCTAAAAGATCTTAAGTGGAACATTTGTAATGTCATTGAAGCGATTCTCCAGGAAATGTTACACAATTCATTCAACCATTTATTGATCCACAAATGCCTGGAACAGAATGGCTAACATATAGATTGGGAGGGCGTGACAGGTTTTACCTACTGATTTTATCCCGCATGCCTTTTTAATGATTGATAATTAACCCAGAAACAGTAAGAAAAAATATGATTTTCACTGCCGCTCGAAACCGCTATATAGGGAAAATCGAATTTTCATTTGTGAAAAACTTTTGTGGTTTTTGGTGATTTGTAACTGCATGCCATTTAAACATAAGGTAAAACTAACGTATTGAAAGTCTTGTAATGAAAAGCATGCACCCCGCAGTAGCGCAAATGCTTCAAAGAGTCAACTGAAGATGAAAAAAATAATGCTGATTTTTAATGTTTTGAAATTGCATGCCAATGGAAATATTCAATTTTCATCGAAATAACAGCGTAAAAAATAAATGGCATGCGCCGCTCGGTGGGGGAAATCCGGAAAATTAGCGGAAAATTTTGTGAAAATTTTTAGTATACTTTTGGTGTTTTCAAACTCGTTAAAACAATGTTCAGTAATGATTTTGTAATGAAATAATTATATAGCCCGAAAGGCATGCATCCAGCTTTGGAGCATCGTATTGTAAACAATAATCAAAGTTGTACTAAATAATAAAAATAAATAATGATTTCTTTTTGCTTGCCATTTTGCAAATCATTAAAAAAAGATATTTTAAGTGCAGAAACAAAATGGCATGCACGCACCTGCAGCCCTACATACAGGGTGTCCCACGGTGGATGACGTAAGACGTTTATGGAGAACTAAAAAGCGGATCATATTGAAAATTTGGCAACCGGGATAAACGGCCATGATATTCACTAAAAATATTTTTGTTTATACGCAAATATGCGGTGTTGCCGCTTCTACTCTAAGCCAGTGGCACGCTATTTCAAACGGAACACCCTGTATGTGATTGCATATTCGGATTCTACGTGAAATCGGTCAGTGGCGTAGATACGGGGATACCCCCAGAGTCCCAGAGAGAGAAAAAAAAATGGAAAAATTGTAACAAAGTTTGTTTTCATCTCGTTTCAATATCGAAATCTAAATCTAAAAAAATGTTCCATTACGTGGTTTTCTTTTTAGCGCAAGTTGAATGGTTTGGCATCTTTATTTATCAATAAAAAGTTTGTACCTTTAGTTCAGTGATGACGCCAGGTGAGGGGGGGGGGGAACAGAGGGGGCTCGGGCCCCCCTGAAATTTAGCCGGCCCCCCTGCAAACTTGCCCTTATGCCGGCAACAATGCAATGTAACATCAGCAGCGTCTGCCGGTTAATTCGGTAATCGGTGGGTACAGGTAACCGCGACGCTGCTTTCGCTTTCCTGGGATTCCCCCAAAAATCGTAAATTAACAGATGTGGGATTCTGTAACGAATAGGTATATTTTCGCTATCTCTATTGACGTTCCCTCTCTATTGATTTAGAAAAGAGAGAAGAAGACAGCAAGTGCCATAGCGTTAAGGATAACGATTTCTATCCATTACATAATCCCGCCTCAGGATTGCTCATCCTCATAAGCCGTCCGTTTGCCTATTCTCGAGTAGGCAGGACCTGCGAGTAACGTCACCACTATTAACAGCTCAAGTGGTGACGACACCCGCAGGCCTCGATGGGATGCTTGTGATTCAGGCTAGGCTTATGCATTTTACGCCGAGAGTTGAGGTCTGCGGCTGAAATGGCAGACCCTTTCAGCTCAATAAGCAGTCCTTCAAGGTTAGGTGTTCTTGGGATTCCCCCAAACATATTAGTGTCGGCTTCCCATTTTTTATTCCAAAGAAGAAAAGCAATAAAGTGAAAACAAGTACCCCCCTAAATTTTTCTGGCCCAGTCTGGCACCCCCTAAAATAATACCCTAGCGTCGTCACTGCTTTGGCTGAAGATATTATGGACCACTTAGCCAAGAAGACTGGAAATTATTCTTTATTTTCAGAGCCCTGGAATTAAAGAATACATTATATCACTAGGTAGGAAATTGCCGCCATTTTGTTTACCTGTCCTGTCACAAATGTTTGCCTTTGGCGAATTTGCCTGCACCGCTGGACCTGGATCCCCTCCAGGGTGAAAAGCTATCTACGCCACTAAAATCGGTTTTTCTCTAAAATTAACCGTTCAGGTTTTACAACCTGTCAAAGTTGCAAAAAGTCAATTTTCAACTGTCAATATTTCCAAAACAGTTGAACTTCGGTACCTATAGGATATAGCACATGAAATCTGCTCAGAATTTTACGAAGAATCCAAATATGTAATCACATACAGAGTGTTCCTTTTAAAATAGCGATGTTGCTACTAGTTTAGAGTAGAAGCGGCAACACCGCATAAACAGAAATACTTTTAAAGTGTAGATTATGGTCGTTTATCTCGGTTGCCAAATTTTCAAAATGATCTGCTTTTTAGTAACGTGCCATTAATGGCGATTTCCATTTGTCATCAGTGCCGCACTGAATGTATCCGCATCTTTTTCTAAAAGCATGTAA